GTGTCAGGAAGTGTCGGACACGACACGTCAGGGTTTTTGAAGTGTCGGTGCTTCATAGGCTACGATAATACCTGGGTTTGACGTTATAATCAAATCTAAAATCTTAAGGTATTAGATGTATGATTCTTTTCACTTATATGATACTTATTTAGTCCATTCTTAATCAATGTATAACTTCACCATACATTGACTTTTCTATCAAAGTTTGGCTTCCCATATCTCCAAATACTCAGATCATCATAGGCCAACTCACCATTGGCTTTGATACTATAGTTGGGCTGACAAGGGGAACTCATGACAAGGAGAGACTATCATTTATGGGCTAAATGAGTAACGACATCAAGTAAGTTTCGATACTATGATCAAATCCAAGACCTTAAGACATTAAGTGCATAAATCCTTTTGTTTGTATGGTGCTTATTTTTTTTCGTTCTTAACCAATATAGGATTTCACCTATTCATAGTTGGATTTATCAACAGTGATAGTTAAATTAATAGGATAAAAAAATATATTAGGGATAAGGATCAAAATAAGAAAAACATTTGAATTATGTAACAACTTTTATTTCTATTATTTTATTTGTTAGTTAATTATTTAGATTAGATCCAATATGTGGTAATAATTTGTTGGAGTTATTTTTTCTTAACTCCGCAAATTCCAATTCATCATTGCAAAAATGCAAGACACAAGTCTCCAACCACGGGAAAGTGAACTTTGTACGGCCCAAAATATTTGATTGACACTTGTAAACATTGTGAATCATATCTCCCTAATCAAATGAAGAATGATCCAGAGCTTGGGAGAAAATTCTCTTGATCATCTATAAATTGGGGAAGAAGATATGGGTTGAATCATCAATTATAGAGCGGTTAAAACATGTTAGCTAGCCTGCTCCAGTAACGTCTAGTCCCATGTGGCTTAGGGCAAAACAACCCACAACAATAAAATTTCACATGGGCCAAAAGCTCCACAAAGCCCTATGGCCAGGGCTTTCCAAAGTTAAAATTTTAAAAAAATTCATCTCTTTAATTGATTAGTGTTGACTCCTATTTTGTCTCATCATTACTTAGCGAGTGAATAGTGAATATTATGCAAAGTCCAAACTTTATTTTAAATTTTATTATGAATTTTTTTATTTTAGTTCTTATTTTGTTATACACTAGTTTTACGAATGAAAATGTACAATGCTATTTATATAACTGTTTTTAAGGGACGAAGTAATATAAAATGGAGTTGAATGATTTGCTTTCTTTAATTTTTTTTTGTAACATTTATATTGATTATGATGACACTTGATAAATATCTTGGTATAGACGGAATTGTGAAATGTTATGGAAGGATATTTCGAATTTGGTGAATTGTTTATAAATTTGTATTTGAATACTTGAGAAACATCATAATATTGATGAATTGATTTACAAAAATTATGTCTATGCTAGATTTTGCTTTATAAAATGTACATATTATGTTTTATGAAATTTGTTTTAAGACAATAATAAATAACAGAACACTATAAGCTAACAATAGTAAATGTTAGTCTTGGTGCACCTTGACTTATGCCAAAGAGAGGAGCCTATAATTTATTTATTGAAGGCGGGATACCTAAAATTATTTTGATTATATCTTCAGCGGAGAATTTGATTATATTTACAAGTGGGTAATGTAATCGGATGGGGTGCCCATGATTGATATGTTGTCATACCCCCACTTGAATACATATTTTAATTTAGTATAGTATTGATTTTTTTATTTGTTCATAAAACAGATTTGAATATTGAAGTTTAATTTTTATCCTTATGTTTTGGATTAAATATTATTTTATATATTGTCAAATCCTACTTGTTATTTGCTCATTAGTTTATATTGCAACTCCCCTAAATCATAGTTATATATTTTCAAATGAAGGCAAGGATATAACCTCTCGATCCACTCATTCAATTTGATCGAGCAAGTGTTATTGCTTTCGTGGTGAGCCTGACTCTTTGCCCTCAAAATTTGGGTCATGACAAAATTAGTTAAACAAGACTTTGTGTAGCATTCTCAACTTTTTTTTACTGCAACATATCAAGAAATATTAATCAAATAGTTAGTTGATTAATTTAATCAACCAAGAGAGAAAGCAACTCTCAAGTAAGATAGAAATCAAATGAGTGAGAGAGAAAAAGATCCACCAAATTATGTGAGAGAAAAATTTGTTTCAAGCCATCCACAGTGGGTGAGGTAATGAGTGAAATCCTTTAGACTTGTACTACAAAAGAAAAACACTCTTGTAATCCTAAGTAGTGTTTTGTAAGTAGGATTATTAAAGTTTTTTCTCTTGTCTTATATAGTGGAAGTTTTTTTTTTTTTTTTTTACCTTGGATTCTCCTGTTTTTTACTCCTATATTGAGGGGTTTTATCATGTGGAAAATCGTGTCCTTCATCTCTATTCTTATCTTCTTCATACAAAGAGGGAAAAACATTTACATTCTGCATCCGGAAAACAAAAACTTTTTCCTATGTAACTAAAGATACTTTATGATTGCCCATTTGATGGTGTCATATTTATAAAGTTTCAATGATAACAAACCGATATAAGAATTGAGCAAAAATCACAAGAAAAGAAGCAACAATAAAAGAGGAGTTAAAATGCAAATGTCACAAGCTTCAACAATGAAGAAAGCAAACAAGTCAATGATAAATAGGAGAAAGATGCTTGTCAACCTATGAATGCCACTAATTAAATGAAGAATAATCTAGAGCTTAGGAGAAACATTTTTTTTACCATCTATAAATAGGTGAAGAAGAGATGGGTTCAATCATTAACCAACCATAAGAGAAAGCAACCCTCAAGCAAGAGAGAGAGAGAGAGACAAAAATCTACCAAATTAGGTGAGACGAAATTTTTATCAATCCATACTTAATGGGTGAGTTATTGAGCTTATATGGAACCAGAAGGCTTATATAGTTATTTTGTAGTTAGATATAGTACTTGAAAAGCATTTTAAATTGAAAAATTATTTTGATGTTAAAGCAAATCATGGAAGCAATATTTGAGATTGTGGCGATAATAATAATAATAATATGCATCTAAAATAAATAATAATAATAACATTATGAATAACAACTATAATAATAATAACAATAACAGAAGCAATATTTGGTGATAGCAACAGCAATGGTGGAGTTGATTGAGGTTGGGGTTGAGACAAAATTGAATTTTGAGAAAAATATTTGGGCTCTGACTTCTAATTTTTTTAAAAACTATACATTCTAACTTTAAAAATAGTGTAAAGCAATTTTAAAAAAAAAATAACTTCCGGCAAAAGAAAGCCCATTCTGTTATGAAGCCAAAATGTTTGTCCATAGAAGCTTGTTAATACTCAACAGCATATAGTTAATCTGGTCAAACAATTGATTAATCATTCTCAATTACATTATTTGATTCACTAGCTTGTTATTGACTGAGTTCTTCTAACAAATTGGTTTTGCTTGATTTTTCAAGAATTTAAAAAGAAAAAACAAAAACCAAAACAAAAGGCTTCCGTGCAATCAGCAAGGCGAACAGCCACGGCCCGTCATTAATCTTGTAGATTAGTCATTATTGGATAGGGCCTCAACTTGTGAATTGAGATCAATCTTGGTTCATCAGGTCTCTGAGTATCGTATAGGCTCAGAGTCTCAGACCAATAAGTATCCTGTAAACAGGTGGGTTTGAATTACCATTTATGGGTTTTATTAATCTCATATACTATTAAACAGGTGGGTTTGAATAACCATTTACATATAATAGCTACCTTAACCTTAAAGCATAAGTTCTGCCAAAATACTAGACTTTCAAATATCTTCGTTTCTACAATTAACATTAAAAACAAAAGTAAAAACACCAGATCACATGGTGACGAGAATAATAGCTTTGTTTAGACTTGTGATTCTTTTTTGAGTTCTACCTTGTCCCAATTAAAGAACTATTGCTTTTGGAATTGGCACCTGTAGTGATGTGTATGCAAGAATATCTCCAATTAAAGGAGATTAGAATAACAGAACCACGCGAACAGCGATTCAAACATATTCAATCCATGTATGCATAAAGAACACCTACCATTGACTTCTAAGAGTTAATAAACCAAGTTCCTATCACTCGACCATAAGAGGTAACCGGGGAGTCACGGCAAACTAAGATTCATGCAGCATGAAGAAGCGTAATAGCAGACTATGGATATGGACATCCGAATCATTAGACAAATAAACAGAGAGAGAGGGACAGACGAGGGAAAACAATCAGCATACAAGATTAAGTCTTCTATATCCATAATTGTCATTATGTCTACTACAATTCATTGAATAGATTAAGTCTTCTCAATAGATTGAGCAGAGAGAGGGACAGACGAGGGAAAACAATCAGCATACAAGATGGTGATCAGACAAAATGAAACAAGGTTAGCACTATGCAGTATCACTTTGAGTAAACGTAAGCATTATATCTATTTTTTTCCCTACACAAATTTCATTGTAGTTAAAGCTTACAAGATAGATAAGCATTATATCAGTCTTATTAAAATAATATCAGCAATGATAACGTTTATTATGTTGTTGTGTCCTATAATCATGCATTCATGCTTGAATAATAACGAGGTAATATGAATTATTAGGTAGATTTAACGAGCCCCCAAGTTCAATGGAAACAAAACAAAAGATCCCACCTTTCAGGGGTATGCAGGGTCAGATCATGCAACCTTACTCGCACCAGAGGATAAATTGCTTCTTTGACTATTAAGCCTTGACCATTAATTAGATCAAGGAAAATAATCAGATATATGAGCCTTCTGGGTTATAAGCTATAACTTCTAAATACCGAAGTAGCACGGTCATTCTATAGCAAAATTTAGTTTCTGGATGACAAGACTCTAAATGGCTCAATTCTTAAAAGGACATTCTTATACTATAAGTGACAGTACTCTGAAATCATCTTAAATCTGCCAAAACTTTAAAAAGTAACTACTCCATGAATATACGGTCATACCAAAGCAAGAAAAAAGCACTTATATAGGTGTAGGAAAATTATTGTCATATTTGTTACATGATAGAATAGTAATAACTTGATCTAGAAGACGTTTATCAGTTCAAACGCCTACGCCTTGGAGCACGAGAATCTCCACTATCCACATCGGACGCTCTTGAAGCATCGTTTCTCCTTTTAGAAGATGATGTTGACAAGGATACCATGGAATCAATTTCTACAGCAGTGTCCACTTGACTCTCTGAATTTATGACAGCACCAATGCTCGAAAAGGAATCTCTGTCATCAACTGGAGGCTGTTCTTGGTTTCTACCTAATGGATTGCTACGGAAATATGCCTCAACTAACCTTTCAGCAGAATTCAGAGCTGATGAAAGAGTTGTAAGTGTTGCCCTTTGTGATTGTGTTCTTCGAAGCAGAAGGGAGTGCACCCTGCGGTTATCCCCAGCCTCAGGATTACCAACGTTGTTCTGTGTCAATCCCACTACATCATCTGGGGGAGTCCCAGGATTCTGCTCTCTCCGCAAGCCTCGCGATGTCAAAAACCTACTTAGCAAGGAACTAGTTCTATCTGCTGTTTCACGAGCATTGTCTGGTTCATGCGGGGGAACTAAATCCCTAGTAAGATCAATTCTGCTTCCAAGACGCCGAATCATCTCTTCCACAGGGAGAGCAAATGCATTTCTCTGAATGGTTTGTCTCAGACTCTCAACGCGCCTTGCATGGGGTCTGAGAGGGATTTTAAGAGTGGAATCCTCCTCAGGGCCACGGACATTGTTTCCACGGCCATATATTGGTGTAACACTTTTAAGAGTCACCTCTCCCTTGCAAACTGGACATTCCTTAGCATCAGAATGCAGATGCAGCCATCGATATAGGCATGGCCAACAAAACAAATGACCACAACAAGTCACAACAGGATCCCTGGCCAGGTCCAAACAGATATTACAATCAAAAAAGTCCCCATCATTGCCACTACCCTTTTCAACATCATCCTTCTTCTCTGATGTCTCATCCTCAGTAAAACCATTGTTGTTCTCACATGCTTTTGGCACCTCCTCCGTTCTCTCCTCAGCCGCCACACTGCCTTCCCCGGCCTGTAAAATGCTTCCATTACCGGAATTGACCAAAAACTGGTTCAATTCCATCGAGATATTTTGAGCTTCAGGCGGGATATGAAAATGCCCCGGTGCTTCGGGTGTTGGAATGTGAACATGAACTTCAGGTGGAAGGATTGGAAGGTGCCGCCATCTCCACCTCTGTCTCGCCCTAAGCCTTACAGCTTCACTGATTCTATGAATAGGCTCCCCAATCCAATCATCCAAGTTCATACCTTCATTGCTTATGGTCCCAGTTGCAGGCTCCGGACCTGGACCCAGATTCAAATCAAGGTTCATTGCATCGGAAGTCTCTTCCCCCATCACACCTTCAATGTCCAAGCTAGAAAGAAGCTTACTTTACTACAAATTTCAAAGAACTAAGATTAATGAAAAACAAAAACAAGAAAGAAAAAAAGTGGGGTGGGGGGAGAAAGGAGGGGACTTCAATCACGCAAAGCTCAACTTACAATACAAATTGAAGAAACCTAATTTTAAGAGGGGAAATTCAACAAAACCACGTACGCTGACAAAATTAAACATTCATAAATGAAAATCGCCCAAATTTGGGGGAAAAAAACCCTAACTTCATCGCAAACATGAACGATCCCAGATCCAATAAACAAAGTTGACCACAATTATTAGGAGAATCTAAGGTGAATTACTAAAATTCAACTCAGGTTAACAAATCACCCTCCATTAATGGTCCTTGAAAGGGACGGGAACGGAAGGGAAGTTATGTTCAAGTGTCACCAATAAGGGTTTCGCGATTCCGAGTTTACGAAAACAAAAACAGGAACTTTTTTAAAAAACAAACAAAAAAGAAAGAAAAGAAAAGGAAAGAGAGATTTAAAATGGTGAAAAGTAGAAGAGGAAGAAAACAAGAAAGAAGAATTGAGAAGAAGATTGAACACCTTGGAGCTGGTTAAGGTTGGTGGGGTGTGGCTCGTAAGAGGCGGTCCCTGAAGGTTAGCGGAGTGGGGGCTTTATGTGTAAGTGGGTTCGACCATAATCTTGGGTTAAGGTTCGATCTGATGAGATGAGACAGAGAAAGAGAGAAAGAGAGAGAGAAAGAGGGTTTAGATGAAACGCAGAATCGGGAGAGAGGAAATGAGGAAGAAGGATGAAGGAACCAAACCACCTGTGGCAGGAGCAATTGTGCATTGGGCTTCGCTGATGCAAATGAACGGCTCTGATCAGGTGTTACCCGCGAGTGGCTTCTATTCTAATTTCTAACACCATCATCGCCTGTCGCGTACTTATTTACTCGCTAAGTCAAGTGCCATCAGGGCCGTTCGTGCTATCAGAAGGAACGAACAACCCTTATCTCTGATCTCGTAATTATGAGTTATTATATGATGAAAAGAAAGATATTTCTGCAGGTTTAATATATATATATATATATATATTTTTGGTAAGCTCTGCCGGTTTAATATGTTACTGGCATAAAAAAATGAAATATTTATCGTGCGTTTTATTAATCTCATGTTAAAGGATATAGTTATCTTATGTCATAGGGATAAATTTATATATTTTACCACCTGAAAAAAAAAGGTGGCACAGTTATCAAAAAGTGTGTAAGAGAGAAAATGTATCGTATGTAACATACGAATAATTTTTCTCATTTATCATTTATAAAAAGAAGTGAGAACTTTGACATTTTTGTGTCATTATTTTCGTAGAGGCTATATATAACCTATTTTTATTTATAATTATTTTATTTATTTTTGGATCAATATTAAATTGACGACTCTTATTTAATTTTATTTTGTAACTATTGATTTGATTTTCATCAAGAATAAAAAAGTTGTTATAAGAAGTTGTGAAAAAATATATTGTAAATATAATATTTTTTAATTATTTATTATTGATTAATTTACACAACTTTAAATAAGATTTATATATAATTATTTTCCATAAATAAAAATATATTTATATTTGTTGTGGATCCACGAAGTGAGTTGTACTTGTTTTGGGATATTAGGAAAAAGACATTCCTGATCCGAAATATAAATCTCATATAATGGGCCTTATCAAATTACTCTAATTGTGTCTTACCTAAACATTGTTACTCTCAAGTAACCTTATTTATAGATAGGATACACTCCGAAAGTCTAGTCAAGCACTACCATTGTGTGTTTGTCGGAAAAAAAAAAACCCACTACCATTATGTACATACATCTCACTCCTTTGGTTTCAAGCCTTTGGCAATCTATCATATAAAAAATTGCATAATATATAAGTGATATGTTGCTATTTGCAGTCATCATCTCCTCTGTAAAAGATAGCTTGTCACCATATCCTATATAACTAGGATCCCTCTTGGATCAAACAACTTCAAATTTGATAAAAATATTTAATAAAATTGAAATGCTTTTACTATCTACTCATGTTTATGGAGCTCGTTTGAATATTTGTGATTATATATGTACTGTTATAAATCCTTTGATAAACTATTATCTAAACTGTTGTCTCTCTTCAAGTGGAGTTCTGATGTTCTCCGGCAAGTATACCGATCGCACAAGTAATATAATGAGTAAGTAAAGTATCGTCTCCACAGGGATTGTAAACCAAGTACTACAATAACCAGTCCCCTTAAGTTGGAAAACTCGATTTGTTGTTTGGAAAATTGTGAATTGACTTTTAGTAACTATAAGAAATAAAAATAAAGACTTGTTTTTATATTTTTATTTAAGAGAAATAAAACAATAACAATGAGAATTGATTTTAAAAATATGAGAAAACTATTATAGCTGGGGCGCACTCATCCCCACTTCTTACTTTGGATTGATTCACAATATTTATTCATATAATTACTCGGATAAATTATTATCTAAAAATATTTATTAGTTAACCCTCAATTCCTTGCAAGGTTAACCCTTTAATCCCCAATTGGAACTCCAATTCCTTGCAATGTTCCTCATGGTATTAAGCAATGAACGCAATAATTTAAGCATCTGCAATTAAATACACATCTATTCCTAGCATGCATACACATCTAGCTAAGCATAATCATGGTTGAAAATTCAATATTCGATAAAAGCATAAAATTACAGAGAAAAAGATGAAGAAGAAGAACTGTAGAAGAATCCTCCTGAGCTCTGCCGTCAGTCTCCTCTGACTGGAATGAGATTTCTGAATTGTCTCCAATGTCTTGGAATGGTGGAGGACCACCCTTTAAATAGGCAACTGGTCAATCAGGTTATAATCTTTGAATTTAATTTCATTAATTTTTCATTTTGATCATAATTCCACAATTCAAGGATTGCATTCATGACGCCCGCACGATCAGCGCCAAATCTGTGACTCCACAAATCAAGGACTGCATTCATGGCACCCGCACGATCAGCGCCAAATCCTTTCCTTGTTTTTTTTCAAATTTCAAATTTCTTCACCCTTTAACCTAATTTTTGTGCAAAGTCTCCTATTTATAAGACTATTTTTCTTCTTCCAAAAATACCCTCGTGGAATCGCGTCAACAGGCTTTTTATAATTTTGTAATTTTCACTTCTTTTACCTGTAAAAACACAACCAATAGGTGAGAACTATAATTGAAAAGAAAGAATCAATATAATTAGCAAATATGTATTTAAATTGCTCTCTTATGACCCAATTCTTATCAATTTTAACATGGAAAAACCACACGTGCCAGAGGCACATCAAATCATTCCCAGATTTAAACGTTGCTGTCCCCAGCAATGTACAAGACTCAATTCAGGAAACAATCAATTATTCCAACACAATATCACACAGACAATCAAGAGATCACTATGTTAAGCATGACTGAATCAATGCAAATAACTCCTAACAATGCCTTCTATTCTCATGAAAATGTCAGAATCTAGCTTGAACACCCCTCACCAAGATAATCATATAGCACTCAGCACTCAAGTGTTTAAGGGAGTAACAATCACTCAATCCATCATAGCAATAACATTACCATAAGCTTGATCATATTCTCAAGTTCCTAAAGATGAGAAACATTAACACATGCATAATTGATCAAAAGGACTTCACAGGTTGTAACTTGGCCGGGTTTAATGGGTAGGAAATATATGGAAAGTAGTTCAAACAACACTGAGATTGAAAAACTGATATTATTTCATTTTTAACACATTCAACTCAATGATTTTGCTCCACTAACATTCCCACATAATTTCGGGAATTAATTCCTTTCAGCCACCTTTTCTTTACATTCACCCTTTTTCTTTTCTTTTCTTTTTTTTCACAACTTTTTGTTTAAAGGGCACAATTGAAATTTTACCTCCCCTAATTATTTGACCTCTGTGGAGCTTACCTCAATTTATTTGTTTTCTTTTCAACATTTCAGTAATTCAATCTCAATCAAGGTAAGTCATATGGATATAGGCTAAGCCATCAATCAGGCCACAGGTCATTTAACAACAAATAAGTTCAGGCTCAAGGGGGCTAACAATGGAAAAATTCATACAGGTGGGTTATTTTTGGCCAATAGCTAACAAGAACGAAATGCCTTAATCATTTCAATCAATGCATGCATCACAGAGAAACAGAGCAAGTTCTAGAATGTTATCATAGTGAGGTCTCTCAGAATAAAATAAGTGTTTAAGCACAAAACCTCACCAGCTATGATGTCAAGCTAGACTTCCAAAAGAAACATCAGGCATCATTAATCATTCAAGCACAAAATTCAGACAAACGAGCAATCATGAAATCTACTCATGCCAATACAATATTATGCCAGAAGTTCATACAAAACATGATTCCTAGGATGAATCAGGCAAATTAACTAGGGAAAGCATATCTAAACCTGGGACTTGCTCAGAAAACATGTTCAAATTTTTTTTTATATAGCACACAAAATACTATAAAAATAACTAAGAAAATTAAAAGAGTTAGAATATCTCCCCTGATAGAAGAATTGCAGCAGTTCTCAGGTGCAAGCCTACCATTCCCAGATTTAGAGAATTGCTGTCCTCAGCAATAATTAAACCACGAGAAAGAAGAAAAACCTGCACAATAGAACAAACAGTGGCATATAGAAGAAACTATAATGCGCACATTAAAACATCAGAGAAAGATATACTAACACAAAGTAATTAAAAGAAAAATACAAAACAGAAAAATAAACTAATATACAAGATCTCCATCAGCAAGGAGATATAATCAACCCTCCATGTCATCCCCCTCAGCAGAGTGGGATGACTCAGCAAATGGAAGGTCCGGTGGTACTGGTTGCCTTGGTGTATGAGACCACCATTCCCAGATTTGCTCCAAACCATGGAACCATGTTAAGAACTCTTTGAAATTTTGATTTTTCCGAGAGATAGAGTCTCGGTGTCTCTTGTCAAACTTTAGCTCCTGATGTCTCTTCCAACTCGTATCAAAGAGTTTCACCACTTCCTTTCTCAGTACCTTCTTCAGCATAGGATGACGCCTCCTTTTGGATTTCCTCCCAGGTTTGTCATCATCCTCATTGAGAATTTTGTTGGTATGGGAAAATGGATCTTTATTTTTCAAATCAGTTTCCTCTTCTTTCAGTGCTTCAATCACCGCCTTCTTATTACCCAAGAAGACATTTTTTTGAGGTTGAGGAAACTCCTCCAATTCCACCTTTATGGCACCATCTTCATTGGCATCATCCGCTGCACTTTGTTTTTCTTTTACTTCAAGACTAAAACAATCATCTTTGTGAGAAGATTGTTTTAGAGAATCAAAGACATTGATGGTAACGGTCTCATTATTCATTCTTAGCTCAAGCTTCCCGTTTTCAACATCAATTAGTGCCCGAGCAGTGGCTAAGAAAGGTCTACCCAGCAACAGAGGCATCTCAGCTCCCCCTTCCATGTCCAACACTACAAAATCAGCAGGAAAGATGAACTTGTCCACCTTCACAAGAACATCTTCAATAATACCACTAGGCTTCCTCAAAGATTTATCAGCAAGCTGAAGAGATGCCAAAGTGGGTTTCAACTCGGTGATCCCCAAAGATTTACAAACAGAAAGGGGCATCAAATTAATGCTAGCCCCAAGATCGCATATTGCTCTGCCAATTTTTGTGTCCCCAATTTCAATAGGAATTTTGAAACTCCCTGGATCACTGAGTTTGGGTGGGAACTTCTTCTGTATAATGGCACTACACTCCTCAGTGAGTGT